AAGAGTGCAAGGTACTCCACAAACTTGTTGGTTGTGTCAAACTGGCTTTACTGATCTCTGTGACATTCCAGCTGCCATTTCTGGCCATTTGCCCAGGATGCCTGAAACACTTGGAATGTATTCTCTGCTCATGTATTAGATTCCTTGGTTTCCTTTAAGTATTACCTTTTGTAGGAAGCTAGAGAACACTAGACTGATCAAGTAAAAACTTGAGAGACTGAAAGTGATTGTATAAATCATTCAATTCAATCAGCATTTATTACGGGCCTATATATACTAGGAACTACGACAGAGGCTTACTCTTAGCTTAGGGAAGGGAGCTAAGGATACATAACATGTACACCGAAAATTAAAGGGAATTTCTGGTGGAAGGGCACTAGCAACCGAAATAGCTCCCTCCAAGGTTACCGATGATCCCTTAAATGCTCAATCTAACAGCCTTTTCCCTGCGTGATCCTTCTCGACTTCTCTACAGCACTTGATACTCTTGATTCCTTTACCTCCTAGACTCGGACTCCTTTCTGAGTTTTCATGATATTCATCTCTCTCAGTCCTCTTGCTACCTCTGTGATCTCTCTACAGTCTCCTTTGCTGGACTTTCATCTCTGTCATATTCAGACATCTCTGCATACTACACCAGAGGTCTCTATCCTGAGCTCCAGTTTCATATCACCAAGTGGCTATTAAATGTTTTGAAATGGATATTCCATAGAATTTCAAACTCAACCATTTCAAAACGAAACTCATTATCTTCCACCAAAACAAACCACAATTCTGAATTTGCCTAATACTACTGAGGCCAGCATCATCTTTCTTGGTGCTGCAGTGAATGGAGTGCCCAGCCTAGAAACAGTAAGAACTGAGTTCAAATAAAGCCACAGACATTTGCTTGTGTGACCTTGGGGAAGCCACTGAACCTGTTAGCCTCAGTTTCCTCATCTGCAGCATGGTGGTGATAACAGTACTTAACTCCCAGGGTGGTTACGAGAATCAAATGAGAAAATTTTTGTAAAGTACTCAGTACAGTGTCTAGCACTTAGTAGATACTATGAAAATGTAAGCTATTATTATTATGCTTGACTCCTCGTTCTTACCATGCATAAGGTCAAATCAGTTAGCAAATACTGTCACATCAGTTTCCACAACATCTCTCAAATAGGAAGCCTTCTATCTAATCACACAGCAACCATGCTCATTCGGGCCCCATCACCTCTTGCCTAAACTACTGCAATACCTTCCTATTTTATCTCCTTACCTCAAGTACCTCCTCACTCTAATCCATCCTCCATACAGCTAGGAAAGTGATTTAGCAAATTCACTTGTCAGATCATATAATGTCTCTACTTGATAAACTCAAGTGACTCTTCATTTTCTATATGATCAAATATAAATTCTTCAGTTTGACATCGAAAGCTCCTCAAAAGTGAGACCATTCCTGCCTTTCTAATCTTTATATATGTAACTCCCCTCCATGAACAAGAGTCAACCATAATAGCCTATTTTATTTGCTGATTCACATTGAGGCCACACATTAACCATATCATACCTTTGCACTGGCTGTACCCCCTGAGTCTAGAACACCCTTTTTCAACTTCCATCTCATGGAATCCCCAGTTACTTTTGCAAACTCAGTTCAAGTACCTCCTCCTAGATGAAGTATCTCCTCTGATTCTCTCAGATTCTAATACCACCTCCCAAAACTACTTTCTATTCATTTTGTATATATGTCACACACACACACACACACACACACACACACACACACACACACACACACACACGCATGTACACATCTCTCCAATGTTTTTATAAACTCTGTGCTTGGCACACAGTAAGAACATAATACATTTCAGTTGAATGATTAATTTATACTTCTAATAGCCAAGGCTTCAAACATCAACGATATTTTTGAATCTTGCCTTAGTAAACTTCTTATGGGCAAAAATGCTACACCTCATTCTTACTCTTACGTAAAAGAACCTCCTCTCCCCCACCTGAAAAACATTTAAACAATTTTGGGGGATGAAAAAAAATTTAATTAGGACTGAATAAAATTTTATTGTGTATGTATGCCACCTCATATTCTGAAAATGTCCACCTATTTAAAAAATTCTATGCTACATACAAAAATACAAAGGTTTTCCAAATTACTAAGCTAGGGAAACATTTAGATTAATATTGTGATATCAAGGTTAGTAATGACAAAAATGAGCAAGAAGAGAAATAGTTCTCATATTTAAGAGGTCTTATTTTATCCTTATTTAGCCTCCTTTCACACACATACACACACAGACACACACACACACACAGTCACACACACACACACACTCCCAAAATTTTCTAAACCTACAGAAATTTTAAGTGACCCCAAATATGTGAAAATATGCCATACTGATAAACCTAAATGGTGTTTCTGTAATCTTAGATATCCTTCTCATTGAGGCAGAAAATATTAGGATTTGAAGATATCCTAGCTATAGCCCAATCCCTACATTATACAGATAAGGAAAATGGGGCTCAGACACAATATGTGGCCATTAATGGAATAAAGTCAGTAGCAGACCTGGAACTAGTAGAACGCAGGCATCGTGCTAGAATCGTGCTCCGTCTAAAATAACAGCATACTAGTTACTCCTCCAAAGTGGTCAACACAAAGGTGTCTTTGAATCTCACTTTCCATATATTAAATGCCAGAGAATGCAACTAATGATACATGTGAATGGATGCCTAATTTTCAATTTATGGTCTTCTCTTAATTTTTCACAAATATCTTTTAAATTGTTTCCCAAGCTAAATGTGCACACAATTAAGAGTTCTTTAACCTAGACCTTTAAAAAATATCCAAGGTAGCTAATCTTCAGCCAGAAATGAGAATGTTTTAAACCAACACTGTAAAGTGGTTGATTCTGATTCCAAAAACAGATTCACAGCTGTGTCTCTCAACCCACTTCTGCATTATAACTAAAACGATAATGTACTTAATTAGCCAGTGACATTTCAAAGCTATTGGGCTTTTTCTTGCTCCACTTGACATGTTTTGCTGATGGCAAAACCAAATTGCAATTTGAAAAAAATTTTTAACCTAGCAGAGTAATTATGTATATATCTCCTTCAACTCATTCTTGCCTAAACCACCCCCTGGCCCAAGCGAAAACTGAAGGAAATCTGCCTTAGCAGAAGTCCAATAATAACTCTCCTCCAAAATCATCATACAGCAATCATAGTCTTCTTGAGGAAGAAATTCATTTCTAATATGACCTGTTTCAGGAAAGATTCCCTTAATGTTCACAAAAACCAAACTAAAGAAAATGGAAAACAAAAATAAAAAAGTGATTTCTTCCCAAAGCAGAGATCAGCACAACTGATGATCTCACATAACCAATCAAAATGTGTGATGGAGGCAGGTCTAAAAATAACAACATAAGAAATAGCACTGTGAAGTTTAAAAAGTCATCCAAACATTTTGCCCTCTGCTCCACACACTGTTTCTGCAGGCGTCTTGAATGTGTTCCACTAGACTAATGCTGACAACAGATGCTTCCACTTTTATTGCTGTTAACAACCTGAGCAATTACTGGAGCTCAGCAGCAACTTCTTGCTTAGAATGGCAACGATTACATTGTCATCTGTCATTTCATGGGGGATTCCATTCAAACATGAAGGCACCTGCTACTGGGTAAAAACTGTACAAATGGGGCTTAGTGAATTAGTGGAAACTGGTAGATAACAAAAAATCATTACAACTTTATTCCATAGTTAAGCTTTGACCAGGATGTATTGGCATTGACTTGGTTTAGTGACTATCATGTGCACACAGGAAAATGGACATGGAAACAGCAAGCAGAAAACAAGTAATTCTAAAGGGAAACTGTCCAAAAATTAAGACTGAATACTTGTATTCTCAAGTGTTAAGGCAGCACGAGAAATGTTGCTGGGAAAGGAAGATAATGTCAATAACAAAATCTAAATAAGAAGGAAATTCATGTCTAAATATAAATATTATATTTTTTTAAAGCATTTAAAACAAAAGAGGGCATTCAACTAAACTGAAGCCCTACTACAGAGCTAACTGGATGTGAGAGAGGGAAAGGTTGCCCACCAAAGAAAAGAAGTTCTGTGAGTAGAAGGCAAACAATTTATGCTAGCCACATACTGGATACAGCATGGGTTTTTTTCACTTCCCTATTTTATTTTATTTTTATATTCCTCTCACTTTAAGAACACAGAGCAACAAAAATATTCCTAAGTTAGATGTCTTTCTAGACTTAAGTCCTTTATATTAACTATTTCACAATATTTATAGGACTATTAATCAGAGCCTTGAATATCACTGTTACTAGAATACACAATGTCTGAAATTCAGAATTCAAACTGGTACATACAAATGTTCTTTCTGCTACACAAAATAAGGTTGAAGAACTGAGGCAGTGCTATTCTGAGGAAGACAAATGTTCTATGTATTCTTATATCATGTTTCTAAAAACAGACCCAAAGATTATTATATTTTAATATTCATGAATGCTTTAGAAATGTACTTCTGCAGGAAAAGGATATAGTCCAAAAATCCCCAACAACTTCTAGTTACTTGCTATGGAACTATTATGTAAAACCAGTCTAAAACCTACTCATATTTTCTTCCTATAATATTTATCAGCGTTCCTACTAACAAATACCTAAATTCACTTTATTTCAGGCTCTGGAGAACGATTACGAAAAGAAACCCTGAAATTCAGTGTAATGCTAAAAAAAGATGTGATCATAAAATGAAGACTTAATCAATACCTACATAAATATTAAAAAGCAAAGAACTCAGCAAATGCTGAAGACCAATGGTAAAGTGCATTATGGAATTATCTCAGTTCTCATCCACCGTGCAATCAGTATATAAAGGTTACATCTGGTTCCAATATCAATAAGTAAAAGGAAGCAACTGGAGCGTTAAACTACAAAAGAAAAGGCACAAGGGATGGAGTGAAGCAAAGAACACAGTAAACGCTTACCAGTTTGAAGTCTTGAATGCTACAGATGAAATATGGAGTATTTGGCCGTCGACTCTCAATATACACACAGTCTTAAAGAGAAAAAAATTGAAAACTATGTAACAATTCTCTAGAATAAAAAAGACAGTGCTCATTAAAGGCACTAAATAAAGCACACATATGCATACAACACATATATAAATATCTGGAAGTAATTGTTAAAAATAACATGCAACAATTATTCAAGAAAAACAACAACAATAAATGTCTCATATTTTTAATAACACCTTTCTCAGAGGTAACAGAACTTTACAAATATGTCACAGAATCCCTTTTTTAAGATCTTGCAGTGAGACCCAGGGAAATGACTGGCTAAAGGACACAAATTATACATTTGGGGCAAAGCTAAAACACAATTCTTCTTTCTCTAGGTTAGAATTGAAACTACCTGTCCATTAAGAAGAGATATATTTGCTTTTTAGAAAGTATTAGTTTAAACTCCAAAAGACCCATGATGGAAAATGCTATCCACATCGAGGAAAAGAACTATGGAGTCTGAATGCAGATCAAAGCATACTATTTGCTTTTTTTTGTTTGTTTCTTCTTTCTTGTGGTTCCTCCCATTGGTTCTAATTCTTCTTTACAACATGACTAATGTGAAAATGTTTAATATCAGTGTATATGTAGAGCCTTATTACAGTAATTTACAAAATTTACAAATTACAGGCCATCTTGGGAAGGGGGTAGGAAAAGAGAGAAAATTTAGAACTCAAAATCTTAGGGAAGTTAATGTAAAAAACTAAAAACTAATCAATTAATTGAAAATAAATAAATAAAAATAAGCATATTTCATTGTTTTTATGTAACATAATTTGTTCAGCTGTTCCCGAATCTCTGGGCACCTAATTTGTTTCCGGTTTTGGTTACCACAGGGGGAGCCACTGTGGATATTTTGATGTTCACAAGGGTATTATTTTTTATCAGTGACTTGCCTGGAGCGTGTCCTTACTAGTGGAATTTATTGGTCAAATGGTATGGATACTTGAGCCACTTAATTTACACAATTTAAAATCGCTTTCCAGTTTGGTTGTACTAAATCATAGATCCACAAAAATGAGTTAATATTTCTGTCTTTCCCCAAAGTCTTCAACATTGACTTCCCACTTTTTGGAATTTTCTCTGGTTTGCTGACTGTGAGATAATCTCCCTCCAGGGCTGTTTTTATTTGCATTTCTCTATTATTAGTAATTTGGAACCTTCATGCATATGGCTGTTATTATTTTTTTTTGGGGGGGGAACCATTTATTCATTTCCTTTAACCATCTAGCTATTATATTAATGGTTTTTGGTTGTATGTATTTCTGTTCAGTATCTTTCTTTTTTGGATACCAGGCATTCACATAAAAAAAAAAGATACAGTAAAAAAAAATTAGGCTAATCTGAACGGACATTTTATAAGGGAAAAAAAATGCAAACAAGTCTCCATTGAACTTGACCAACAGGATAACTGGTATTAAAACAAAGGAAGGAAATAAAATGTATCTAATCTCTTGTGGTTTATTTGCTATTAAAACTCAAAGCAGACACATTTTCTTTTCTAATTGTAAAGAAAAATAAGGCAACCCATTACAGTTAAAAAGAAGTAAACTAAATTAGATTTTCCTCAGGGAAGAGAGCTTTCTCAAATTACATTTGACATGGCAGAGGTAGAGTAATTATTTCTGCAGCTTACAACAACTGGACTTTGAAAAACTACACTAAAATAGGTTCTGCTGTATTATGAATAACCTCATAATAAATGTAACAAAAGTAATGGCTTAAAAGCAACAAACAATTGCATGTTAAAGCACTAGAACAGCTGCTTCTTAATGATAAAGCTCTAAGGGGAAAGCTATGAACTAGTTACTGTAAAACTAGGCCACCTCAAGAGTAAAGCAAATCTTCTGCCAATAGTCTCTGTGCCCTTTTCACTCATAAGTGATTACTTGAGTAAACTATACTCATCCGTTCTTCTTTTCACCCTTCATGAAGCTCCTTAACAGGTACAGCTTAGGGGGCAGCTAGGTGGCGCAGTGGATAGAGCACCAGCCCTGGATTCAGGAGGACCTGAGTTCAAATCTGGCCTCAGACATATAAAACTTACTAGCTGTGTGACCCTGGGCAAGTCACTTAACCCCACTGCCTAGCCCAAAACAAAACCAGATACATCTTACAACGATTCAACTGCTGGACAACACACAACCAAGTTTCTCTGCCATATTTATCATACCAGACAATAAGGGCCAAGCAGAAAGCAGAAACCATTTAAAATCTTCCACCCAGATGAAGGTACATTAAGTATTAAGCACTGGTACTAAGTAGAAGATTAGGAAAGACAAGAATGATGAAATTATAATATTCCAATAGCCTCCTACTAGATCTCTCAACTTTAGCTGACTCCACTCTTCAATCCTTTCTCTAAAAAACTTGCAGATTTAAATATCTAAAGCACAGATATGCCAATATTACTTCTCTTCCTCAAAAAGTTACAGTGGCTTCCTTATGCCTCAAGATCAAGTACAATTCCTCTGTTTGGCGCTGAAAGGCTGGCCTTTATAGCTGACCTCTCAAGGGTAACTAAACATTAATCCCATCTATGTACACAGTGGTCCAATGGATCTGGCCCTGTGGTTCCTCAAACGAGGCATGATATTTCCCAATTCTTCTTACAACTCCCTCCAGCATTCTACCACTAAGCATGGTGAGCCTCCTTCAAACTCAGCCTCAGTTCCCCATGGTACATGAGGCCTTTCCGGATGTCTCACGTTACTGGTACAATCTCGATCCTAACCTCCATTTAGCAAAGTGACCTAGTTGTATATGTTGTTATTCAGTTGTTTCAGCTGTCTGCAACTCTTCACAACCCCTTTTTCAGGGTTTTCTTCACAAAGATCCTGGAGTGGTTGGCCATTTCCTTCTCCAGCTCCTTTTACAGATGAGGAACCTGAGGCAGACAGGGATAAGCCACTTGTGCAGGATGATCACACAGCCAGGACGTGTCTGAGGCTGGATGTGAACTCCTAAAGATGGAGTTTTCCTGATTCCACGCCCAGTGCTCTACGCACTATGGCACCACCTAGCTGTCGGCATATGCAGTTGTACACATTCTGAACTTAACTGTGTCCATCTTTTACCCACTATAAACCATAAGCTCCTTGAGATAGGGATTGTTTCATTTTTATATTACTATTGTGAGGTGCTTAATAGATACGTCAAAGCTCTTTCAGGACAACCTTCCTTCCATTTTCCTTCCTTGCACATAGAATGCGTTTAATAAGTTCTGCAAATTAGTCATACTGACAAAACCATTTATTAAGCATTCTTAATATCCCAAGTAAAAAATATTTATCCCTCATATGGCTCACTGAACTTTTCTAACAGCCTCCTTTACTTTTTCCAAGTTTTTTATTCTAAAAATAAATACAAGAGCATTTCACTATACACAAAACCCAAGAGGATTGTATATGAAATTGTGAATCTCTAATACAAATTGCTTGATATTAATATAAACATAAATTCCACACGTTGCTTTCTTAACTGTCCTGCTTATTTGTTCTTGCTTCTGAACTTCCTTTGGTACATTTTTTTTAACAAGTTTTAATGTCCCTCTTTTTTTTTTTAAAGCAGGTACTACTGCTAACCTTGTCCTGCCCCCAAACCTTTCCCCAATTAAATCCCCCAAAAAAATTAAGGGAAAAAAAATCCTTTTCATAAAAATACGAAATAAAACAAAAATGAATCCACCAAATGTGAAGTCGGAAAAATTTATGACTTGAGTCAATGATCTCTCAATTAGGAGGTGGGTAAAATGCTTCATCACAGAACCTCTAGAAATAGGGCTGGTCATTGCAAAGTCGTTAATTCAAAGTTGTTTTTCTTTACAATGTTCCTAAAATGAGCTGTACCTGGCAATTACACTCTCCGGCCCCCACCCCATCTTGGAAGCTGAAACCATTAGATATTCAGGGTTCTATCTGGTATCTCAGCACAGAATGGTATGGACCTCCACACCACACTGTTACCAATCAAGGTAACTGTTACTATAGGGCTTCCAGGTCCCCATTCTGAGTATGTATCCAACCCCTCTGGAGTGTGCTTTCTCAGGGGATCCCTTCCACTCTTACTTCAAATAGACACAGAGCCCTATAGGCTACATATGTACGTTGCCTGTATCTGCTGAACTGTTTGATGGAACAAATGTTGCCTTAGCTAACAAAAGCTCAATCATTATTCAGTTTGTTGTGAATCTGATATTTTTGCTGAAGTAGGTAGCTGGAAGCTGGGCAATCTGCCTACATCCAGTCTTGTTGGCCTGAAGCTTGCCCACATTTCTAATCCTCACTACTAGACTGTGCTCTTTAAGAAGAGGAAGAATAGAGACTTCATAAATGCTTATTAAATTTAATGCTAGCAATGAAACATGCTCCCAAAGCCAATATTCCAAAATATCTTTATTACTTCATTCAATTAACTACTGAAATCACAACACTTCAATGAAATCTTCCATGAAGTAGTATACTCTCTAGCATACCCTCTATAAACATGAAATAAATACTCAATGTCCCACAAAATAAACTTATTTCCTAGTATTGTAGCAAGATTTCAGTATGGTCCATTACCTATTCTTTTCTCTCATGATCCTTTATGCATAACATCATTTTTGCAAATATTGGATTAATTCAGAAAAATGGATTAATTATGTCTAATTCTATAGAGCGCAACAGTGTTTCATGCAGAGTTTTATATGAACAACAGCAAGAAATGATAGAGAGCTTTAAGATTTGCAAGTACATCTCATTCGATCCTCAACAATCCAAGGAGGGAAGTGCTTATTGCTATCCCCATTTTACAAATAAGGAAAGAGGTAAAAAGAAACTAAGTAACTTGATCAGTGTCTGAGGCAGAATTTGAATTCAGGTTGCCCTGCCTCCAGGTCCAGCACTCTAATCTGATATGCCACCTAGTACTCTTTCAATACAGAATGAAACATTAAAAATAACACCATACTATGCTTGACAGTACTTATATGGTAGTGTGGCAGCCCCCCCCCCAA